AACAGAGAGAGGTTGGGGTTTTACCCCCCCAAATCTCCCCCCGCGCCCTGTGAGGGGGGGGATTTTCGGGGAATGGAAGTCAACGCATCTTCAAGTTGCTAAGGTTGAGAAACACTGTGCTAAAAAAAATAGCAACTTTTCCTTGGAGTCAAGAGATAGTTAGAAAAAGGAACAAAGGCACCAAGGAGGCTTCAGTACTTGCGCCCAGTTTCCACGATGCCAGACGTTAACCCCTTCTTACTTTGTAATGAAACTCTGAGAATCTAGCTTTTTTGGATGTGAGCTGCTGTTAGGGACTCGACAGAATATATTATCTGGTTTTATTGCATGTCCCTATGCTAGCATAGCTTGCCAGTTTTAAAACCCATACAGATTTTTCCTAGGCCTCTCTGCATCTGATGCAAATTTGAAATGTGGACTTTTTCAGGTGGTTGGAGAAGAGCCCAAAGAACAATCCTTGCTACACCCTGTCCTTCCTGCTGAAAACTTGCCTGGAGCTGATGAACGTGTGGGCCCTCAGACCTGTAAAATGAAGGCAGAAAGAAGTCAAGGGGCTAAGTTAGTTGAAGCTTCCCAAAGTGATGCTTCTGTGTATACGGGACTCCCAGAGTGTTCAAGGGGCCAACAGCCTGTAGCAAGCACCGAAGTTGCTGTTTCTGTAGAGAGTTGGGGAATCAACATTGCGTCCTCTTCAGAAGAGGTGGAGGAAGAGAACTTCCCAGCTGGTGGTCCCAAACTATGTACGTCAGAAGCAGTGTGGTTAGAAGCAGACATGAAGTCTAGGGAAGCTGATAGTCCAGGTAGAAAGGTGCAAGATCTGCACGGACTCCGTACAGATGAGGAAGATGGAGAAAGCATGGACTGTGGATCAATTGATCTCACTCTTTCAGAAAGCAACGATGCTGACACGGAAGCCAGAGATGTGGATCTGGACCCAGAAAATGAGGAATATCCAGAGGAAAGTTGTGTGAAAGGAAGGAAAGAAACAGACAGTGTATGTGATGTAGTGTCACCCACCCATAGCCCTCTCCCATGTAGGACATCACCAGATGCCTTGTCTGTGCATCAGACGGAATTCCTGGGTGCCCAAGAAAATGCTGTAGGACCATCCCCAAATTCTGAATCTCCGAACCAAATGGGTTTGATTGATACAGTTCTTCAGCAGGCAAGCCCATTACATGAAATGGCTTTTGATGAAAAGATTGCTGAATCAGCCAAAAATATTGATCCAATATCTCCAGAGCAAATGAATGAGGTGGAGAACTCACATATGTCCCAGGAAGATACACCAATCTTGGCAGATTCAGCTTCCATTCAAGCTTCTGGAGAGTTCCCAAGTGATCTAGGTACTCAGGATGAATCATTAGAAAGTCAAGATTCTCTTGAATCAATGAAAAGTCCTAGGATTCCAAACCAAGTTGATGTAGTTGACATTTCCTCTGTTTCCCATGAAGACAGTGGGATCCATTTGGGTTGTCCAGCTTCATGGCAGGCTAGTCCTGTCCATCAGAGAGCTCCTGATGAAACTGTAGAGCTGCCAAGGGTTCAGGAAGATGGTCTGGAAAACCCCCTATGTCACATATTTCAAAATCGAATGGATTTGATTGAAGATATTTCTCAGGACAGCACAGAACTGGCTGATCCCCCTGTGCATCTTTGTGAACCAAACAATGAACTATACATGAACTTGGTACCAAACAGTATGTCAACTCAGCAGGAATTCGTGGAAAACCAAGAGAGTTCTGTTGGATCCACTCAAAGACTTGCACTTGCCAAAGAAATGGATTTGGTTCAAAGTCCTTGTGCTCCTCAAGGAAACCATCTGGCTAGTGTAGTCCATGAAGCTGCAAAATTGCAGGAAGACCACAGTGTCAAGATGGATTTGGCTGAGGATTCTTCCATTCCCCAGGAAAAGGAAGCCATTAACCCAATGGACAATGTTTTGTTGCAAGTTAATGAACAACAGCCAGTACAGCTCAAATTTGGCGCTCAAGAGGAACAGAAGACCATACAGAGAGAAGAGTTACAGCATACAAAAGAATATCTGAGCTTGGAGTTGCCCAATGTGGAATCTGAGACTTACTCCAAGAGTGAAACATGTTTGGTTCAAGAGATTGTCAGAGATTCTTCTGTACATCAAGAAATAGCATCTGATGATGGTGTTGAAAAACTGACTGTTACCGCGGTTGCTGTAGCTGAAGATATCATCACTTTAATTAATGAGTTGGTAGACACTGTATGTGCCATGGTAGTTCAGAGCGAAGAAATGAGCGCTAAAAAGAATATGGGCTTAGATTGGATTAATTCAGTAATGCTGGAGTGTGTGACACCTCCTGAGAGTGATGACGAGGGTTGCCCAACTGACCAGCTTTCCCACGTTGACTCGAAATGGGCGGATGAATGTTTAGAACAGAGTTCCATCTTCAATGACCAAGAGAGAGACTTACAAGCCTGCGTTCAAGGACGTGGAGAGTCTTGTTCATCCCCAAATGAAAACATGATGACTGATTCAATAG